TATATATATATATATATATATATATATATATATTCTTTTTTTAATGAATAAATGAAATGCAAGTAAAAAGGCACTATATCTGGGTATGGGAAACAATCAGGTATTTAGGCCTCCCTAATTTTTTTCTTGACCAGTTCCAATAAATCACAGATCTTTCATTAAAGAAGTTACGCCACTGCGATTGAACAATCGTCATTCTATTACACATGTAAAGTCTTACTTGTTCGGTACTAAACATATGCATGTTAAGAAGAAAATCAGTGTGAATTATAAACAGCCATATTTAAATCAGTTTCGGTGGTATTCAATAATATATTGGAAGCATAAAGTAATGTTTAGTTATATATCATTTCATATAAACTAGGATGGAACCATTATTCTATAAACAATGAAATCTTTCTTTCCATTGTTAATCATTCTTGACTAGTGAGAAAAATTATTAATTGGCAAGAGAATGTTTAATTGTTCCACGCACACCATGCCATGTTTTCCGAAATGACAAACATTTCTTCATCATTATTTCATGTTATGTAAAAAGACCGATGTTGCTTTATATTGACTGTCGAGGATGACATTCATGTATATTCATTTCATTAAACAGGTGTTTCGTGATCAGTCTCTTCAATTCTTCCCAATCTCCATGCATTTGGATCTCCTGCTGCTGCAAAGTAATAACATGAATATTTTTTTATTAGTTTAAAATAATGATGTGCTTATATGAATTGAAATGTTTGAAATGCGAATTAATATATACATAATATGTGAACATGTAAATCTATTTATGCACAACTACAACAGAATACATATTTAAAATAAAATTTTATGAAACTAAATAATCTAAACATAAATAAATATATAAATAAGAAACTCCCCCAAAAATATATTAAACCTTGAAAGAATTAAGTATTAAATAAATCTAAGTACACATAACAAATAAATATATGTAACGAGTTACTAAACCAGAATTTTTTCTTTGAAGTTATATAATTAGTCCTTCAATATCATACTTGTAATAAGTTTTTCACTTAATCTCTCTATTTTATTGAATTTATGACACAATAATAAGAATAATATTATAACACAAATAATACTGTTAGTATAACTAAAATATAAAAAAAACATACATAGACACAAAAATAACTCACCTGAATACAATAACCAGAAGAAAATAAATGAAGTTACCCAGTGTGATATTTGTATAATTGTATGGATATCCATTGCAGAAACATAACATATATCACGTATAAATTTGTGCTAAGTATCTGCACAGTTTGTGTCACAGGAATATTATAGGGAAGACTGAACATTGTTGTGTTGTAGAGGATGTAAAGGAGGTGTACGTAGGTAATTAATATGATGCAAAGTGTTGTTCAGCACTTCCTGAGTCGTGTACAGCAGCGGCATTCTCTCTTCTATCCAAAGCAAAATCAAAATTGATGCAAAATTATAAGAAGTGTATGTTGCATGTTCTAATAAATTATAAATTTACATTGTTAGTATTACTTCAGCAAATACATGCACCAATAATCATGCACAAAACATGGATATATATTTGTCATATATATTTCAATATTTATATATTTATCTAAGGATTGACTTTTTTATCTAAGAAAAGAATATAATTAAGAAAATAATATAAAATATTATACAGGATAGCAGTTATTATAAATTACAACAATAAAAACTTCTTAATTTTTTTATAATATAAACAATTTACTTTATAGTATTTTGTAGTTTAAATTTTGTTAGTGGCAAGATTTACATTTCTAAAAATACATTACATGTGATACATGCTCATGCCTAAATATAAAAAATAAAAAAATACTGTAATATTGTACACGTAAATTGTCACAACACATTTCCAAAATATTGTTTCAATTATGTTAAATGTTTTTAATGACTATAACGTATATAAACATATACAACTTTTTTATATATTATAGTTAGATATAGTTATTCAATTATGATATCTATAATATATTTGTTTGAAACAATATTTTTGCAATGCAACCTTTAGAACCACCATCTAAGATTAAATGATATCATTAAGGATATCTAAATGTATTTATATTATTATACATATTTCATTTTATAAAATACACTGTTTAATTCTTAAAGAATAATTTATAATTTAAAAAAATGTACTACATCCTTAACAATATTTTAAACACAAGAGTATTATGTGCATATATTATATATTATAGATATGTATATATGTATATATAGGTGTATAGTGCATGTGTACGCTATTTTTTATACATTTAATTACAAGTTTTTCATAAATTTAAAGATCCGAATCAACAAAAATCGTTAAATGAGATGATAAAATAATTTAAGTCTCTGATACATATGTATTATATTTTTAACAAATCATCATATGCACATTCAGTTTAATTTAAATAAATAAGTAAAATTATCCAGAGATATATAACATTAGAAATCTATACTATTGTAAAAACAGGTATTTCTTTTAATATTTGTTTATATTCGAAAAACTGTTAACACTACATTTATAATATATATTTATAACTTTTTCAGGTTTTATTAATATAACGAAACAACAGTTCACAAATGCAATATTAAAATGTACTTACCTTGAAGTTGACGACTGATGAGAGCAGTAATACCTTGGCTATCACCAGTCTTTTTCACAACGAAAAGTTTGGTGTCAGGATCATTTTCTAAGGCTCCAATACCACCTAAACCAATTACTTGTCCATTTTGCTGTTGATGACTGCTAGCAGCCATTGTTTC